CAGGTGTGTGGGTGGGTGGGTGGCTTACAGGTGGTCGGCCGACAGGCGAGCAGGCGCACTCTGATCCATAGATCCATGGAGAGATGGATTGACATTGATTGACACAGTTCATAGACACATGTCAGGTGTGTGTGTGTGTGTGTGTTGTGGTTGCGGCTGGCTTACGTCGAGTGTGTCGATTTCCTTGGCGATTTGTTTTATCTCTTTGTTGATTTGGTGTCTCTTCTCGGCGAGTTCCGCCCTGACGGCTGCCACCTCCCTCTCTGTCTCGACGGCCTCCTTGCGCAGCTTGAGCTGACCCTCCAGCTTTGCACTCTCCCTGGTGCCCTCGGCCGCCGCCAACTCGCGCTGATCCACCGATCCATCCAATCAGAACACACACACACAGAGAGGGATTGGCTGCAGAAGTATATGGAGTGGCGTACGTTGAGGAGTTCCTTCTGTTTGTTGACGGCCGTCTCCTGTTGGATGACGTCCGTGTCGGCCGCCACACCCACACGCTCGCCAGACACACGAGCCTGGTCAGACAAACACACACACACCACACTGATCCATGTGTGTGCGCCCATCCCGTCTGTGTGTGTGTCGATTTGTGTGCCTGGAGCTGTTTGAGTTGGTCGTGCATGGCCTTCTCGTCGGCGACCACCTGCACCGACTTGGCCACCAGACTGACCAGCGCCGCCTGCTGCTCGCGGATCTCGTCGGCATCGATCAGCTCGCCGCTCTCCATGGCTTTGCCCAGCTCGTGGGCGCCGATCGAGGCCGACCGCAGCAGCCGACTCGACGCCAGCAGCCCCGCACTCTCCAGCTCGCTCGACGCCCGCAACAAGTCACGAGCCACCTCGTGCTGACCGACACACATGGATGTCGGTGCCTTGTGTTGTTGTGGTGCCTCCCTCCCTCCCTCCCTCCCTGTCTGTCTGCCTGTCTGTCTGCCTGTCTGTCTGTCTCACTGCTCACTTGTATCTCTCCGGCCTTTCTGGGTTTGCCTTGCGCGACAAGCGAGTCGACGGCCGACTGGACGAGCGAGGCGGCCTGTCGGTGGTAGGCGGCGGCCGTGACGTGGTCGCCAAGGTGAGAGGCGTGTGTGGCCTTGATTGACAGGGAAATGGCGTCGAGGGCGAGTGTGGGGCCGACCGCCGCCGACGAGAGCACCGGGGCGGCCTCGAGCAGACGCGCCGACATCTCACTGTACGTCGCCGCATCTGTTTGTATGTGTTTGTGTGAACACACACACACAGAGAGAGGGTGGAGGGAGGTGGCCAGTGTGTCTGTCTCTTGTGTTGTGTTGTGTGCCTGATGTCTGTGTGTGGGCGCTGTCGGGGTCGTCGACGGCCGCGAAGCGCGAAGCCAACATGTCACACAATGACGACGCCTCTATGGATGGAAAGGAGACACACACACACACACACATAGAGAGAGAGAGAGATCGACAGCTCTGTGTGTGTGTCTCTATTGTGTGTGTGTGTGTGTGTGTGTGACCTTTGAAGACGGCGGCGGCGTCGGTGGCGCTTCGCTCCTTCACGTAGAGCAGGGCGGCGTGGTTCAGATGATACCTGACACACAATGCAATCACACGACAGCCATCAGACAGATGGACAATGAGTGTCCCTCTCTCTCTGTTCATCTGTGTCATGACTGACACACCAACTTACTTGGCGTGGAGGTCTTCGTCGATGGCGGCTTGCAGGTCGCCGGCCGCGGCCATGTCGTCGGCCTGTCTGGCGAGTTGGAATGCCTTTGCCAGCGCCACCTCGGGCACATCGCCGCTGTCGTATGCGTTGGCCTTTCGCTGTGCCGCGGCGGCCTTGTTGCGGAATGTGTGCGCGGCGGGTGCGTCGGTGCCGGCGGCCTCGTACGACTGGGCGATGGCGAGGTAATCGCTGACGGCCTGCCGCTGTGTCTTGGCGGCGGCCTGTGTGAGGCCGTCCAGCGCCTCCTGCACGGCGATGGCCTCGCGCAAAGCACCCGCGTTGTCCAACGATGACACACTCGACGGACCATACCATCTGAGAGGCAAAACCGACACAAATGGCCGCTCCATCTGTCTGTGCAGTCAACTAGTTCTTGGTACAGTTGTGCATCGCAGATGGCATGTGTGACGCTATGTGTGGGTCGACGACAGTAATTAAATAAGGAGCGGTTGACGGGAAAAAAGGCACTCAGTGTCTGTTCACACTCACTCACAGAACGCGTCAGTCAGCAGCGACTACAAAAAGCCATCGACATGCACACACACAAACACACACACACACACACGTGCACGCTCACAATGGTCCTCTACAACCGCCGCTCCCCTGCCCCTGCCCCTCCCCCCTCCCTACTCATCAGTCACATCCCATCCCATTCCAAGGTGTGAAGTCACATCGATTCGATCACAGGATTCTCGCATAGTCGTGCTTGTACCCCCCTCCCAGCCCCATATCCGTCCCCCGCCCTATCACCACCGCGTCAGCCTCGTCGAGGCCAAACTCGTCGTCACCCAGCTCAAACCTGTTGGCCTTGCCCACCAAGGACGAGTATTTGTAGCTGGTCAGCCGGGGACGGACGAACCGCATCCACACAAACACGCACACGGCCACCACCACCAGCAGCACCACAGCCAGCCCGAAGCCGCCTGACGAGGAATGGCCAGATGGGGGGCTCAGCGGGGGAGGCGGGAGGGCGTCTGCTTGGCGGAGAGTGACGTTGCCAAGAGATGCCTCGGCGTCTTTGGGAAGCCTGCAGCGATGAAGTCACACAGGCACACGCAACACGCAGGGGTGACCGGCGGGAACGCAACGCAATGCATCGATGTCATGCGCGAATCTGGCCTCCTGCGCTTTGTGTGTTGCTTGCTCACTTGGCGAGACTCATGATGAGATACGAGCGAAAGATGAAAGCTGACGCTATGCGCGACTGAATAAAAGGAGCAATGGCTCTGTCGCGCGAGCTCAAGCGCGAGCTTGATCTCTGGAGATTCTGTCTTCCACCGCAAGTGAGGCTGTTCTGGCTCTGCTGAGGACTGTGGACATGTGAGGAAGGCTGTATCTTGAAAGATCGGACGAAGAACGGTCTCCCGTGGCGATGGCCTTCATCCTCGGCACCTGGGCGCTCGTCCTCGCCATCCTTTTCGCGTTTGGGGCGGTGTGCATCTCCTCGTACAACATCTTCATGCACCTGGTCAACTACAACCGGCCGCTGATGCAACGATACGTCGTGAGGATTCTGCTCATCGTGCCCATCTACTCAGGCAAGACAGGCAGACAAGGGCCCTCACGATAGGGGGGGCACAAAGCGGTCTGTTCACTCGTGTGTGTGTCTGTTGTCTGTCGGTGCCGCCCGCAGTGATGTCGGTCTTGTCGCTATCCTTTCCCCGAGCGCATCTGTATTTCGACACGCTGAGGGACATTTGGGAAGCGGTTGTCATATACTGCTTCTTGGTGCTCATCCTAGAGGTGAACAAGCCACACACACTCTCACGCTCCCACCCATCCACACACTCACACACAGGTATCCTGCCTGCTGCCTGGTGCCTGTCGTCTGTCTGACAGTATTGCGGCGGCGAGAGCGGGTGCGTGACGTCCATCAGTCAGTACCCCGGCTCCATCCCCCACATCTGGCCCCTCTCTATGGTACTGCAGCCAATCGCACTCACAGCCCGGTTCCTCAAGGGCTGCAAGAGGTGGACCCTCCAGTTTGTGGTCATCAAGCCGCTCATGGCCCTCGTCAGCCTGATTCTCCACACCCAGAGGCTCTATGACGACCCGGTGTATCAGGTCTTCCTCGTTATTATCTATAACGTGTCGGTGTTTGGGGCGCTGTATGCCCTGCTGCTGTTCTATTTGGCGACGAGGAGCCACTCGGGGCTGGTGGGGAAGAACGCTATACCGAAGTTCTTGAGCGTCAAGACCATCATCTTCGCCACCTACTGGCAAGGGCTGCTGATCTCAATCTTGCCTAACATTGCTTCTGACAGGAGACAGGTCAGCCACATAGTGCATAGTGCACATGAGGCCTTTTCCCCACCCCCCTGTGTTGTCCTGTATGTGACCGACTCCGACAGATGTGGAACAGCTTCATTCTCTGCCTGGAGATGCTGTTCTTCGCCATCCTGCAGCTGCACGCCTTCCCCGCCAACGAGTTCCGCTCCCCCCCTCCCCGCGCGTCAGGATCCAGCGTCCCCAGCCCACCAGTCGTCCCCATCGGCAAGGCATCGTCAGCCGCTCTCAGAAACGTCAAGGACGCCGTCAACATGAAGGACGTCGTCAAAGACGCCTACTACAACTTTCACACCAAGTATCGGGCGCATGTGCGGCTGCAGGAAGAGCATGACAGGCACGAGGCCGACGGCGACTCGCCGCGTCGGCAGCACTCGTCGCACTCACTCTCACCAGAAGAGCCGACCACCGGTGCCGCCTTCCCGCCCATCAGCGTGAGGTCACCGAGGACGACAGAGTTCGACCTCCTCGACCTGTCAGGGAGGCCGAGCGACCCCCCCACAGCCTCCGCCTTCCCTCCCCGCCTCTCGCGCTTCGCCAGCACAGAAAGCGCTGGCAGGCCACACAACGACCTGCTCTCCGGCTCTCAGCCGCATGTCGACAACGGCCATCATCATCCCGTGTCAAATGGCGTCTATCGGCCAGCAACAGCAGCAACCAACGGCTCGCGGCACCATCACAGGAGTGGTGGTGGTGGTGCTGGTGGTCTGCCGCTGGCAGAGGACAGTCCGCCTACTGTGCGGAGTGCGGAGAGCTTCGAGGACATGGACCTCAGCGCCGTGGTCGACGTCGGCCCCCTCGAAGAGCTCAGGCCGCCATCGTCCTCAGAGCAACCACGGCGGCAATCGGATGTGCTGCCGGCTATGGGTGCCCCCGGCCCTCTGGTGAGCTCCTTCACCCAGGACCACGAAGACGGACAGCCAGCAGGACGGCAAAGAGGTGTCATCGACGCCCTGACGAGTGTCTTCTCGCGGCAACGGAGGTCGGCAGGGGAGGCGAGCAGGCGGCTGCAGATCGACATGGTCGAGGAGGCCCCTCCCAGGCCGCCCACCCCGCCCACACACACTATGCGGCGCACTCTGTCTGCTGGGAAGGACCTCGACAGCGTGTTTGCCTGAGTAATGAAGAGAGAGGGAGGAAAGGGGGGGGAGGGGGCCGGCGCTTTTGGGGCAGGGCAACGTGTTGAGGGCAACCCAATTGAGTGTGTGCGTGTTGGTGCAATGAATGGTGTTGGTTGAGCCTTTTCCCTTCTTCCTTTCCTCGATCGACTCAGCTTTTTCCTCTGTTGGTTGGTCCCTTCCTTTATCGTAGGTGTGTGGGCACTGTGGGGTGTGCAGCCGTGGGGGTCAGTCTGTTTGGGGGGCTCTCTCGCTGAGAATGCACGGCGGATGGACACACACGGTGTGCGGTGCGTGGATGTGTGTGTGGATGTGCATGTGTGTGCGCGGCGTGCAGCTTTTTTTGAACATGTGCTGTGTGGTGGATGGTCGGTTGCGTGTATAGGCTCGTAGCAGCTGTGATGACCGACAAGAAGCCAGGCAGACAGACAGGCGGACAGGCGGACAGACCTGCACTGATGAGTGCATTCAGTTATTCAGTCAGTTAGTCATTGACAACAACCAATCGCCGAAGTCTCACTTCCCCACACCCCCAACTCACACACAGAGAGAGCTATCTCACAATGGCTGCATTTGCACAGTCCACAGGACCCCACCAACCCTCCCTATGACGACACCAGCAGCCCCTCCAGCCCATAACGAGCCAGCAGCGGCCGGACTACAGACGCAGAGATGGGGAACCGATCAGCCACGCCACTCATGCCGCCCACCTCCCTCTCTGTTGTGCACAGAGCGATCCGCGTGCCGAAGAGCATCAGGTACACAGCCATTTTGTCGGCAACCCCCTGGCCCATCAGCAGGATGATCCTCCTGGTCTCTTTTCCGTCTGATGATTGGAAGCGCAGCACCGTCGCGCCACGCATCGCTGCCTCGCTGTCTGTGCGGAGGGCGTGGTACTTCTGATCCTCCCAGTTGACGTGGTACAACAAGGTCACCTCCCGCTCGTTGACGCCCTCCTGAATACACACACACACATAGATGGGTGGGAGTCCACTCACTGCGTCTCATGGCTTGTGTGGTGTCTGTCGTGGGACGTACCTGATGGTACCATGTCGTCAGAACAATGGTCTTCATGAACGCAGAGAACGAAGGGTACAGCAGCGACCGGCACCGAATCACCGGGTCATCCGCACTGTAGCCGCTCAGATACGGATGCCCCTCGGGCAGATCCTCCCGCGCCACCGTCTCCAAGCCCTCCCCCCTCACCATGAACCGCTGCCTCGGCCCCTTCTGCCCCTCCCACTCCTTCTCAACGGCCAAGCTCTTGCCCTTGAAGGCCAGATGGTGACCAAACGCGCAGTACTGGGCGATGGCCCCCGGGAGGCGGTGGTAGGCCGACTTGCTGGGCAGATGCCGGTCCACCCACCCTGGGGTGATGATAAGGGGCAGCCTGACCTCGTTGAGCAGACGGTAGATGATGGCCAGCCGCAGGAATCCCGCCAGGTCGCCCACGATGCTCTCCAGGACGTATGCGCATCGGGTGAGGTAGTGCAGGCGCGACATGCCGGCAGTGAGGCCGGCAGGTTGAGGACTGCGATCCACGTCCACCAGCCCGATCAGCGAGTGGACCGTCAGAGCACTGTCGATGCGGCGCAGCACAAAGGGGACGTTGACGAGAGGCGGGCCTAAGACAGTGCTGGTGGCCCTCCCCAGCGCCACGGCCTTGTCGACATCCAGAAAGGTGAAGAAAGCATGGACGTACACGTCAGGAGGGACCCTCATCTCCTGCAGCCGCATCTCTTGGTGCTCGCCGGGGGATTCATCATTCGTCATGTGGTCCTTCTCTGGGACAGGCGGGAGGGGCTGTGTTCGTCGGGAAGGGGAAGGGGAAGAGGGTGCTTGTGGCTGCTGCATGTGGTTGTGGTTGCGGGTGGATGTGCCTGAGCGGTGCGACAAGTAGCGGTTGAGCGTGGTTGTGCAGAGCGCCTCAGGTCCGAGCGGCTCCATGGGTGAAGACGGATGCAGACGAGTCAACTTGGACATCTTGGTTCTGGTCTTGTGGTCAAAGCAGCGGTTTTCTTCCAACGCCGCGATCCGCTTGCGAGCTTCGCTCAGAGGGGCGGAGGCACAGAGATCAATTGAGCGAGATAGCGGAATAGCGGACGTGCACAACCCCACACAAATACGGCAGCTCTTATTCATCCAGTTGCGACTCGCAATGGCTGAGTCGTCCACGTCGTCTGGTGGCGTGTTCTCGTCATGCAATCTGTATTTCGTCAATCGGGGCGCCTTGAGTCTCTCCCGCATCAACACGATGAGTCAGCGCGTGAGGGAGAAGGGCGGGCAGGTCATCGAGGACATCACCAGCACAGTCATCGACGAGCAAGGCCGGGAGGAGAAGGAACTCCACCCGGCTATCACACACATCGTCGTGGCCAACACCCTAAGCAGAAAGGTGCGCTGAATGAATGATTGCGGATTGTATCTCTGTGTGTGGCTGCCAACTGTGTTATGCACTGTATGGGCGTTCAGGTGTTCCTTCGTTTTCTCCAGGCCAGTTCCCTGACAGAGGAGTCCATCAGCGCTGGTCGGGCGAAGGTGCTGCATGACGAGTGGGTGACCAAGTCATCTGGGACGGGCAAACGACAAAACGATGAAGGTGGGCAGATCCCATAGAAAGAATGAATCTGCACCTGCAACCCCCCGTCTGCACGCCTTTCTGTGTGTGTGTGTTCAGCCTACCTGTATCAGTTCAACGAGAGCGCGCCAGGCGCGCCCTCGTCCGCCTCTGCATCTGCTGCCGCATCATCGCAGGCACAGCGCAGCAGACCGCGGGCTTTGATGTCTGCGAAGGAAGAGGACGAGCCTGCGAAGAAAAAGGTGAAGCACCAGGCAGATGCCAAACCTCCCATCTCTCCCATCTCACATGCGGTTTGCGGATGGCTCCAGGCGCGGACTGGTGGCGGGGCGGAGAGCGCCTCTGCATCTGCTGCCGCATCATCGCCGGCTTTGAAAGTCCTCACCTGGTGACCACACACGACACATGACTGACATGCATCGCATCGCATTGCATTGCATGGTGCGCTGTATATGGGTGGTGTCTTGTGTGTTGCAGGAACATCGACGTTGACATCGACGAGGAGCGGCTGAAGGCACTGGTCGCGCTGATTCGGAAGGAAAAGCCGGACATCGTGTGTCTGCAGGAAGTCACACCTGACAGGGCGGTAAGGGCCACTCTCTGTGTGCGCGCGTGGCTGGCTGGCTGGCTGGCTGGCGGTCTACGCATTTCTGCCTGTATTGTATGCGTGAATTCAGACACACTTGAGTGCGTGGGGCGGCGAGCACTCCCTCGAAGACGAATACCATGTCCTCCGCGGTGGCACGAGGGGCGGGAGTACGCCAGCACATGCCATGCAGACACATGACATGACGGCATACGCAGTGAGTCCACTGGCGTCCCTGCCTGTCTGGCTGCCGGCAGAGTTGACCCTCAACGTGACGTTGGTGTTTAAGCGATCGCTTACTGTCATCGGTGAGCGGGGGAGGGAGGGAGGGTGGCTGGGACGGAAGGCGGCAATTGGACCAGTGATGTGCATGTGTCGTGAATGTAGACGGCTCGCTCGATACTCATTGGTACCCGCGCGGGCAGATCGGCAAGAGGGGCGACGAGAAGCTCCGGTCAGTCAGTCAGTTATGCCAGGGATGAAGACAGACAGCCAAAGGGATCACGCCCAGCTGGTTTCTGTGTGGGTGCAGGCACCTCTGCCATGTGCGGGTGAGGCCGGTTGACGGCACCAGTGGCGGCACGGAGCTGCTGCTGTGCAACACACACCTCGACAGCGGCAGCCCCAGCAATGAGTGAGTGAGTGAGTCAACCACACACCAGCCGAGCCGACCCCAGCACCCACACTGCAGTCAATGCACCTGCAGCAACCAGTTCCGGCGAGAGCAGCTGAAGGACCTTGGCCAGACCATCATCAAGTGAGATGAGCAGCCAGGAGAGGATGGATGTATTTGATGTATTTCACCTGGCTCTCTTGTCTGTCTGCTCACGCCTGGCTCTTTTGTCTGTGTACGCGTTAAATGGCTGGATGACCGCTCGAAGTTTCCCGATCTCGGGTCCGTTATCATGGCCGGGGACCTCAACATTCGCAAAGAGGAAGAATCAGGTGTCTGTGTGTGTGAGCGACACAGACACATACACACAACATGACACACGTGGCATGCGCGTCTGTGTTGCTGTGTCTGCCTTGCGGTACATGCAGAGCTGCCTTGCGGTACATGCCTGTCGGATGTGTACTCGCAGCTGCGCTGCCCAAAGAAGTGCCGCTACACCTGGGAGCCGTCCAAGAACGTCAACATAGAGGACTGGATCGACGAGGAAAACATCCAGAAAAAACTGTGGCCGTAAGCAAGCTAAGCACTGCACACCCACCTCCACCGTCCGGATGGATGGATGGATGCTGTGTGTGTGTCGGCCAGCCATCGATCGGTTCGATCGTGTCTATGTGGCCAGTCGTGATAGGTGTCAGCGGCCGTTGGAGCCAGAGCGGATGGAGCTGGTGGGCCGCGAGAAGCTGCCCAGTGGCCGGCACGTGTCGGACCACTGGGGCGTCATGGTGCGATTCAAGTGGGGCTATTGATTGGGGATCAAATCGCTTTTCGTGTGTGTGTAGACACGGACAAGTGTGCGTTAGTTATGTGACATATCTCCATGCACCTACTGCCTGTCCGGCTCTCTATTGACATGCACACGTCTTAGATATCTTTTGTGCGCAGTCAGCCGCACAAGACGACCACATTATGACGACACAGTTCACGACGGGTGCATTCACTCACTCACCCATTTGCCAAAGCGCCACACTCACCCACCACACTGCTAACTACACATCACGGCACCGTCAACAAACGGCCCTCTCTTCGTTCCCTATCCCGCCCGCCTGTGTTATCTGCTGCACTTTGCACACACTAACCATTATTCACTCATGACTTCGCATCATCTCCGCATGCGACTGGAAACACGCAACCACGACAAGAATTCAGGCAGGCAGACAAGCAGGCAGAGAAGTCAGGCAGCTAGGGTACAACACACATCAGATACGCACACACAGACGCGGAAGACGTGCCAGTTCGCTCCTGTTATTGATCGTCTCATGCCTGCAAAACACCACACCACCGCGGTCACAGCACCGAGGTGACAGCCACGGTGGCTGCAATCCACGCACACATGATCCATAAGTACACACATACACGGGTTCACACATTTCTGAAGGCCTTTGCATTGATGGGACTGGGGATCGAAGCATGTGACGGCGAAAACCTCATGCTGTGTCTCCTTCAGCCTGTGTTGATCTGCGTGCGTGTTTCGTGGACACACACAGACCGATAGAGCTATAATGTTTTCTGCCAATCTCGGCATCACGAGACAGTCACCCAGAAGGGCATGAAGTCAGTTCGTCTGCACGTGCACGGCGGGGCGCACACTGACAGATACGAAGAGCAGAGCGGTTAACCGCTTCACTGTAATCGCGTCTCTGTCTGCTGTCCATGGTCGATCTTAAAAGAGCCAATCGGGATATAAAATGTAGACAGCGATTCCAAGGGAAACGCCTTCCTCCTTCCACACACACACACATACACACAGAGAGAGAGAGAGAGAAAGAGATGCAGACACAGATGGGGAACGGGTTTGTGGGTGCGTACGTGGGGTCCTTTGAGGACGGCTTCATTTTCCTCGACCATCTCCGTCTCTTTTTGGCCGCCCCAACCCCCCCAGACGGGCGGCGGGATCTTGATGAGCACCGCCTCCTCTGGCTGGCTGCCCGATTGACGGCAACCGCCGATACGCCAAGCCGCTGCCGTCAATCAAGTACCAGTGGTTGGCTTCTCTCCGACCTTTGCGGCGTGTCCCGCTGACGGCATCATCCGCCGAGAGATGCAGCGGCGGCTGAATGCGCAGATGCTGTTTCGGCTGTAGCTGGATCGGGACAGCCGAACAGCTGGTGTATGGCGGCGACGTCGCTGAGTCTGTTGAGGCCGAAGGGCAGTGTCCAGTCCCAAGATGCCCGCACACACCAGAGGATGAGAGGACGTCCGTCTGTGGTCACTCTTCCGTGTTGTCTCACCGCGATCATGACGTCTGACGGTTGGTACGTGTGACATCTCACTCCCTCTCCACCCGTCTCGAGGTGCTGATGACAGACCTGCACAACACACACACGGATTCATCATGCTGCTCTCGAGCAGACGAGTGCTGTTGGTGTGTGTCGTGCTGACCTGTTGGCTGTCTCCCCTTCGCCTCTCTGGTCTTCTGGCGGCTTTCTAGTGAGCCTCTCTCGCTCTCTTCGCCTTCTAGTGGGCACTGCAGACAGACAGACCACAGAGGGGCGGGGGACAATCCACGCAGTCATCTCACACACTCACACTCGGGCAGACCAGCCAGCCAGCCACACGACCAGACACACACACGACACTCAGACCCTCTCGCACTCAGCCATATTATAGAAATGACGACAAGAAACTGACTAGAGTGCGGGCATGCACGTGTGCGGCCGGCATCGCCGCTCTCTCTCTCTCTCTCTCTCTCGCCATCCACACACACAGACACACACAGACACACACAGACACACACACACACAGACACCTTCAGGGCCCATTCGTTGGGCGATTGAGAAAGTTACACTCACAGAAATGACAGTAAAAAGTCGACTAAAGGGCATAGGGCCTTGTGTGGCTCGCCATGCCGGGAGGGGAGAGGGGCCAGCGGTGCAGGAAGGCATCCGGGCAGCCAGGCAGCAAACAAAACCCACTCGCCACACACGGGTCGTACAAATGTTTTCGAGAGGCCGTGTAAGGCTTACACGAGCCCCCCCTTTTATGCTTTTTTTTGGTACTATATGGTACACCTGCCCCTGGCCTCTCTCCCCCTCCAATTCGGTTGTCTCGCTACCACCACGAACCACACACATCCACACCATCCGCAAGGCGACCTCGCGCAACGCCTGCGGGCCTCCTGACTGTTGATCCTGATGGAGTTCCAGAGGCTCCCAGAAGGCTGAAGAACTCCGCCGCCCATGAGGCCGCCTCTCACTGGGCGACGCCCTGGAACGCAAACCTTCTGCATCCACATATAGACACGCACATTAGGGAGAACTGACGCACGCAGCCTCCTGCCTACCGCGAGAGTCCGGTGTCCCAGCTCGGTCTACGTGCGTCGGGTTGGTGGTCTCTGGCGGGTCGTGTTCATCCCCTGGACACACCACAACACGCGCACGCATTTTTCCCTGTGTATCTCCTCTTTGTGGATGACTGTCTGACTGTCTGTCTGTCTGTCTATCTATCGATTATGTTGAGTGGTACCTATTTTGACGTTGTAGTCGTAGTCGCAGTCGCCGCTTGCCTTCTCGAACACCAAAATGCAAGGCCTCCGCACGCTTGTCGTTGGGCGAGCGGTGGGGTGGGCAGACAGACCACAAATGCATCTACATTCACGCAAATGGCAGACAGCAGGTCAGACACACACACAAATGGCACTCCATCCACTCCACACAAAGACGCTCTCCTCTCCACTCACATGGAGCCAGCATGGAAAAAGAACAAAGATCACGGCTCCCCTCCCTGAGAGCAACACGCAGTCCGACCATCCACCACACACACAGGCGCTCTCATGGCTCACACACCCCCTCCCCTCTCCCTCCCACGCGCAGCGCTGCTGGCTCAGAAGGTGTGGCGTGTTGTGCGCTCGAGATCCATCTGCATCGTCATCTCGAGACACATACTGACAGATCCATGGGTCGATTTGAAAAGAGCCATCCGGGATATAAAATGTAGCCAGCGATCAAGGCAAACGCAGCGCTGCTGGCTCGTTAGGTGTTGTGGCGTTCCTCCGCTCCCCTAGGCACCTCCTGTCGTGGGCGTGACGCTCACTCATTTGGCGGGGCGGGCGGGGCAGCAGCAGCAGTGGCCGCAGCCACACAGGGGGTTGACCCACGAGGGGCAGATCTTGTTCTCCTGGCCTGCGCCCGCCTCCTCCCCCTCGATGACGACCTCCCTGGCCTGCGGCGCGGGTGCCTGGCTGTTGGTTGTTGCTGGTGTGCTGGGAGGGCTCCTGGGGCGTGTGCTGAGGGGTCGTGGGGGTGGTGTCGCCGCCGCTGCTGGAGGGGTGGGCCTCGATGAAGGCGTCGATGGCGACGTTGACAGCCATGCCTCCCACCTTGAGCTCCGCCTGCAACAACGCCATCTTCTCGGCCATCTTCTGGGCCCCCTCCTCCTGCGCCCTCTCGAAGTCCCGGATCTCCTGCCGCGTCTTCTCCGCCCGCTCCTCCCGCTCCCGGAGCTCCTGCCGCGTCTTCTCAACTGCGGCCTCCTGAGCCTTCAGCTTCTCGAGCTGCTCCTGGCAAGTGGCACGACGGGCCTTGCGCTCCTTGGCCAGCTGCAAGCCAGATGGACACCCAGGGAGAGAACAGGGAGAGAAGGCACAC